CATCACTTCATGTAAGTCTTTGCAGGTTTTTCTGAGAGCATCCTGCTCATTATTTCTTGTAATAGCACAATAATATTCCATCACAATCATATACCATGACTTGGTCAGCCATTACCTAATTGATGGGCATCCCTTTAATGTCTAATTCTTTGCTAACACTAAAAGAACTGCTGTAAATATTTTAGTGTATAGAAGTTCTTTTTCCTGTTTTTTATTTTTTTTTATCTCTTTTGGTTATGGACTTAGTAGTGATATTCCTGGGTCAGAAGGTATGTGTGGTTTTATAGCCCTTTGGGTATGGTTCCAAACTGCTCTATAGAATGGTTGAATCAGTTCACAACTCCAGTGTTTCAATTTTCCCTCATTCCCTCCAACATTTTTTCATTCTCCTTTTCTCCCATATTAGCCAATCTGATAGGTGTGGGGTGGTTTTTATTTTGCATTTCTTTAATCAATAATGATTTAGAGCATTTTTAAAGAATTAGTTTCTTCAGTGAGGTTTTGTACCTCTTTTTCCATTTGGATAATTCTGCTTTTTAAAGAGTTATTTTCTCCAGCTGATTTTTGTATCTTTTCTCCCCCACATGGCCAATTCTGTTTTTTTTTTTAAGGTGTTATTTTCTTCAACATTTTTGTCCCTCTTTTATCAAGCTGTTAATTTTCTTTTTATAATTTTCTTCCTTTGCTCTCATTTCTTTACCTATTTTTTCCTTTACCACTTATTTAATTTTAAATATAATTTTTTTAGTTCTTCTAGGAATTCTTGTTGAACTTGTTTCCATTTCACATTTTTTTCTTTGAGTCTTTGTTTTACGTCATTGTCTTCTGGGTTCATCTTGATTTTTCCTGCCACTATAATAGCTTTTTGTGGTCAGGTTCTTTTTTTTTTTTTTGGTTGTTTGCTCATTTTATCCCTTGCTATTTATTGATTTTGAACTTTATGTTAAAGTTGGGCTCTGTTCCTAATATGGGGGAGGTGCTCTCTTAAGCTTTTGGTTTTGATTTGGTGCTTTGGTACTGGAAGGGTTACTGTTCTTTAGGGTTCCTGATCCCTTGTGACCGAAAGAGATGATGCTCCTCAGGGCTCCCACACCCTTTTGACTGAAAATGCTCCTTTCCACCCTGGAACTATGATCCAGAAGTGGATATAAGGAATGAATTTACCGAAAAGCATCTGATCCTGTGTCCAGTGCTGATATGAGTTCCCCTGTAGTCTCTTTCTCACTACTTGCTAAGTCCCCTTATCATTTCTGGCTTGAGAGCTCCTGAAGCTGCTGCTGTTTCTGTTGCCACCACCTAGTCCTACCATTTGTGTTTCATTCAGGTAAACTCTGGGCCAACCTCCAAGCTCATGACATAGATTTCTCTTTCCAACCTCCTAAGTTGTCTTGGGCTGGAAAAATGTCTCGCTCTGACCTTTTTGTTAGCTCTGTCACTCCAGAATTCAATTTGAGGCATTATTTTAAAGATATTGGAAGGACAATGTTGGGAGAGGGTAGCTGAGTGCTTTCTCTACTCCGCCATCTTGGATCTGCCCTATCAATCTACCTTCTTGAAGGAAATTAGATAAATTTTCAGGTAATATGACTAAGGACTGTGGATTTAAGAGCCAGAATTTGTAACAAGATCAGTAAGTGGTGATATTCACCGTACTTTCTATATTGGGCAACAAATATCTCGATTGTATAACCTGTGGTCCCAAATACCAGGCTCTGCATCTATGCAGAACAGGGGTAGTCTTGGATGGGGTGGGACTTCCCATAAGTCACTCCTTGGCTTGTGCTCCCACATTGAGTTTTTCTAAGAATATCAGAATTTGGTTCATGTCTAGGTGTCTGAAGAAAACATAAACTGGCCTCATGTCCCAATACAGATACTCGGGATAACTATGCATTTCAGACTACAGGACTGCCTTTATTTCACGACACACAAAAAAAGAAAAACAAAGAAGAATTGCACCTGAACCCATAATGGCCAACAACTATCCTCTTTTTAAAAGCCTCCTTCCCTTGAAGCTTTTTTTGGAAGGAAAATGAACTTAAAATTAATACTGAGTGGCATCTCTTATCCTCTGGTAACTCTGACCTACCCCTAGGTCCTCCAGACTTATAATATCACCCTGTGGTTAAGGTTCCTCTCAAAGGGAAATTGCATTTGGGGTTTCTAGAGAATCTATCTTCTTTCTATTAGGTTAAAATAAAACTCACAACAGCAATGGAGGCCAAGGTCCAGGTTTCTTCCTCCTAATATTGCCTATAGTCCTTGTTGCTTCTCCAGCTCCAGGGTCATCCTATTGCTGTTCTTATCTTTAAAAATCTGGGGCCAGAAACTTTTTTATTGGGTGGTTTCTTCTTCCTCTAAATATTCCTTTGTCACTACTCTTTCCAGTTGTCATTTCACATACCGTGTCCCGAATACTAGGGTTTCTCCTTGTAGGGTTGCAGGAAGGGTAAGAAAAGAGCACTCAAAGAGCTTAAAATCTAATTGAGAAGTAAAACATAAATATAACTAACACTGAAAAGTAAGTGATAAGTGCAGGCAATATGTGCTTATTTCAGAGGAAGGAGAGAACACAGCTGGCAATGATGATTATGTAAAACTTTGCAGAATAGGTGAGACTTGAGCTGGATCTTAAGGGATAGCTTGGATTCAGCAGGTGAAGAGTGAATCATGAGTAGGGCCTGGAGTGGTGGAAATGGGGAAACCTTAGTTTCCCTAAAGGCACGAGAGGAAGGAATGTATAAAATATGTTAAGAATGAGAGATCAGTCTGGCTGCAGCAGAGGACTTATGCAGGAGAATAGAGGGGGTAAAAGATGGGAAGGAAACTTGGAGCCAGGTTACAGAAAGCCTGGAAAACCAGGCTTGTGGAGTTTGGGCTTTATCTGTAGTCAAAGGGGATTCATTAAATGTTCTTAAGTAGGGGAGTGGCATGATGAAAGTTACTTAAACTGACATAGTTATGGTAAAATGGATTAGGGGAAGAGAAGAGAGACTGGAGGCTGGAGGAATGGGAAATTATTGCAACTAATGAAGTGGGAAGTAATGGTAGCCTGAACTAGGATGGGAACAGTGAAAGATGGAGAAGTGATGGAGTAGAGACAGATTATCATGACTGATTGGATATTGGAAATCAAGAGTAGGAAGGCATTTAAGCCTAAAGATTTTAAGCCTAGAAGCCAAAGGAAATGATGTATTGATGAAAATAGGAGAATGAAGGGGCAAAGTCAGTTTTGATGGAAAGATGATGAGTATTTTTATCATATAATGAGTTTATTATGATGGTGGGACATATGAGTGGAAATACCAAACAGGCATTTGGAGCGAGGTCTAGAAATGTGAATTTAGTAGTAATCTGTATGAAAGTTACAGCTGAAGATGTGGGAGTGGAGTAAATCTCCAAGGGAGAATAATGGGGGGTGAGGGGTAGAGAGAAATGGGAGGGAAGATATGAAATTATAGAAGTCGGAGAAGAACCAAGATAATGCATCAACTTAAGAGTCATAGTATGAGAGAATCCAAAGAAGGAGGATGTTGTCAATAGAGTCAGATGTTGACGAGAGGTAAATGAACACAAAGTCTGAAAAGGTCCATTATGTCATCTGTCATTTTTTCATGCTTGGACTACAGGCCTTGAAATCATTTCTCACATCAGGAAGTCACTCGTCTAGTGGTTCTGGCCCATACCTCTTGGACCCATTGTTTCCTTCCAACCACCTTGCAAAGCCCTAATTTGGTTTCATCTTTTGTTTTCTTAGTCAGTCAGGGCAAAAGGCTGAGGAGAGGAAGAGTTAGGCAGGAAAGAAACCTTTTCCTTCATCGTTTCTCCCTCTGGTGTATGTTTGGCAGAGGAAGCCAAAGAAGCCAATCACTTCCTCCATCCTCTCCAGAGGAATATTTTTTACTTAAGGAGCCTGTAACTCTCTCAGCAAGGTCATCTGTTGCTTGCAGATGCAAAATAAATAATTGAAAAGGGATCATTTAGAGTACAAACATCAGAGGGAGCTAAGAAAAGCATTCGAACTGACTACCATACTCCTACATTCTTCAAAGATGACCTTCCAGGAATCGCCTCTCATACTATTTGGTTTTTCTGTCTCTGGGACTCAAGATATTACTGAGGTTATATGGAAAACCATTATTATGTGACTGATTAAAAACTCCATGACCCCAATGCCAATCTTCATATGCATGATAAAATTCTCTAAAATCAACAACATGGAACCTGATTTAGTTGAAAAATATATTGTAGTGACAGGGATTTGAAGAGCAGTTAGTGATATAAGTGATTTGGTTATCAGCTACCCTTCTACTATTCTGTTCAGTGGAGACACATACTATTGAAAAAAATCCCTGAAAGAGGTGCAAGTGGATAATGCAGTATTCGGTAAGGTACATGATCCTTAGTCTATGTTGGCTTAGACACATAGTGACATGTCAGGGCCTAACTCAAGTACTAACTCCTGCATGAGGCCATTCCTGATCCTTCCCACTCATTTTAAGGGGAAGGGAGAAGGGCATAACTATTTATGTAGCTCCTGTTATGTACTAGGCATTGTGTTAAGTGCTTGATTTTCACAGCAGCTCTGTGAGGTAGGTGCTATTATTATTGCCATCACGCTGTTGAGAGGAAACAGAGGCAAACAGAAGGTAAGATACTTGCCCATGGTCACCCAGCTAGTAAGTATCTGAAGCTAGATTTGAACTCAGTCTTCCTGACTCCAGGCCCAGCACTCTTATAAAGTACACCACCTAGCTGTCTTGTGCTCCTTCCCATCCCCCACTTATTTTGCATATAAATTGCATATAATTTGTTTTGATTTTTCTGTGTACACAAAGAATATAAGTTCTCAGAGGACAGGGACTGTGTTATTTATGTCTTTGTATTCTCATCAACTAGCATACAATTAGTGATTGATAAATGCTTACTGAATGAATGAATTATACAAAGGCAAAAAAAGGGACATTTATAGAAATCTCCTTTTTCTTCTGACTTCCTAGGGGTTCCAGCAGAAATTCTCCTTTCACAGTAAAGAGATTGTGGCCATCAGCTGTTCCTGGTGTAAGCAGGCGGTAAGTGTCAGGGATTCAAGGTGTGTGTGTAGGGAGAGGGGGGTAGGGGGCATGATAGCACTTACTTGGTAGGCTTATTTCATAGTTCACTTTAAGATCAATGTAGATGTACAGCTACAAGGGACCTAAAAGGGCATCTAGTCCAATCTCCTTATATTACAGATGAGGAAACTGAGGCCCAGAGGGATTAGGTGACATACCCAAGGTCACACTGGTAGGATTTGAATTTAGGTCCTTTGATTTCAGGTCTTTCTGTGTTCTTTTCATTGTCCCATGCTGCCCTCATGTCTCAGTCCTAATCCAGTAAGGGTGAGCACCAGCTCCTTCCAATGGCTAATTCTTCATTTAACCCTTCCTGTTTTCTTCTTCTTCTTCTTCTTCTTCTTTTTTGCCTTTTTGCCTTTTTGGTGAGGCAGTCGGGGTTAAGTGACTTTCCCAAAGTCACACAGCTAGTAAGTGTCATGTGTCTGAGGCCAGATTTGAACTCACGTCCTCCTGACTCCAAGGCTGGAGCTCTATCCACTGTGCCACCTAGCTGCCCCCTCCTGTTTTCTTCTTAACTGACCTGTAAGCAAATACATAGCTTGTGATCAAGTCTCCCATGTTATACCAAGAAAAATATGTCACATATAATATTGTTCTCTCTCCCCTAGTGGTTTTATGTCCTTTGTCTTTAGGTACTATTTGATGTGGTGGGAAAGCTTTTTTCCCCTTCTACTTATGTATTATTCATTCCAACAACATTAAGCACCTGAATCCTGATGCTGATTGTGATAATTACTAATGAGGATTAACTCCAGAGTCTGTTATTAGTATCAACAGGATCTGACCAACTGACCTAACCAGTTGCTTAAACAACTAAAAGACAGAATTACATGTTAAATGTTAAACAGCCACCATTCATTAAAGATCAATCAGAAATGAAAATCATTGTCATTTTTCAACATCAACAGTTTAGAGTTGGAAGGGACCTTAGAGGTCATCTAGTCATTTTACATATGAGGAAACTGTGGCCGAGACAAAGTCTCTATAAAATGATCATATAGGATCATAGCTGGAATAGACCTTAGAGGCTATTGAAACCAACACTTAATTTTACAGCTGGGAAAACAGAATAAAAAAAGAGTTTAAGTGACTTGCTCAGAGTCACATAGCTAGTAAGTACATAGGATGGGATTTGAACCTATGTCTTTCTGATTCTGGGTAACTAGGTGGTGTTGTGGATAGAGCACTGGCCGTGGAGTCAGAAGACCTTAGTTCAAATTTGGCCTCAGACCCTTTCTAACTATGTGGCCCTGGGAAGTCATTTAACCCTGTTTGCCCCAATTTCCTTATTTGTAAAATGAGCTGGAGAAGGAAATGGGTATCTTTGCCAAGAAAACCCTAAATGGGATCATGAAGAACCTACACAACTGAATCCACTGAATAACAGCTTCCTGGTTCTAGGTCCAGGGCAATCTCCTCTACCATTATAATGCGAAACAACTAGTAAATAGAATTAAATTGGGCCACCATACATGACCTCGTAGGTACCTTCTAACTCTAAATCTCTGATTGTATGCAAGTGTAAAATAACAGTGTAAAGTGAAGTTCACCTGTATAAACTCCAAATTGGGCTACACAGGATCACCTCCATTTTATGAGGATACACAAGGAGAAGCAGATTGGGTAAGTTGCCTGGAAGCCCATTCAATGAATCAGTGGCAGCACTGAACATAGACAGCAGATCTCCTTCTTCTAGTCTATTGTTATAATCATTCAAAACAGGCTTCCTTCCTTCCATTTAGAAATGCCAACTACTGTGTTTGTAGAATATCACTGTTCCCACACTAAAAGTTCAAGTTTATTGCCTTCCAGCAAAAAGAAGGCAGCAAAACTGTCCTTATTCTCTTTCCTGGTAAAGGAATAACTCTACAAGGAAGGGAATGTTAGTCATTTTGTACTCTTCCAAACCCTAGAATTCAGGGGGCTGCTTGGATGAGATTTACATGTCTGGAAAAGAATTCAATTGCTCTGCTTCTAGCTTGTTCTCTATTGCCTTTCATACCTTTCCCAGCCCCAAAATGAGGAACTAATTTTAAGCAAATGAATAACCATAGCTAAATTAGCTGAAAGGTAAATTCACTATTGGATAGACTCTTGGAGTATACTATTACTGCTACTACTACTACTACTACTACTACTACTACTACTACTACTACTACCACTACTACTACTGCTGCTGCGGCTGCTGCTGCTGCTTCTATTGATATGGATACTGTTACTGCTGCTGCTTCCACCTAGCATTTAAATATAAAGTACTTTAAGTTTTGTAAAGTGCTTTATGTGTTACCGAATTTGACCTTCACAACAATCTAGGTTGATACTTTTATTGTATCCATTTTACAGATAAGGAAACTTAATAGATTAAATGACTTGTCCAAGATTATACATCTAGGAAGCCCTTGAACTTCTTTTTGAATCTGTCTAGCACTCTCTATTCATTCTATCTCCTAGTGGCCAAAATCATAAAATATTAGAGTTGGAAGATGCCTTAAAGGTCATCCTAAGAGTGTGCTGTAGAACAGTGGTGTCAAACTCAAATAGAAACAGATCCCTATGGGCTGCATGTTGACTTATTTTAATTTAATTTAACTTAATTTATTTGAATAATTTTAATTTTAGTTTATTTATTTGAATTTTTTCCAATTACAAGTAAAAACATTTTTAATACTCATGTTTTAAAATTTTGAGTGCCAAATTTTCTCCCTCCCTTTCTCCCTTCCCTTCTCCTTCAGAAAGCAAGCGATTTGATATGAATTATACATTGCACATTGACTTAGAAAATCACAAATTAACATTATCTATGTTCCATTGTGTTTTTTATCTATTTTGTTAAATATTTCCCAATTCCATTTTGATTTGGTTTAGGCTGGCACTTATGGGCAGTGAGTTTGACCCCTGTGGTATAGTAGAATGAGAACTGGCTTCTAGAGCTTCTAGAGGACTTGGCTTTGGATCCAAGCTCTCTTTTCTGATGCCTGCATAACTGAGCAAATCACTTTACTTCTCTGGGGCTTGACTTCCGCACCCGTACAAGGAAGACTGAACTATGAGACTACTAAGGTCTCTCATACCCCTAAATCTAAAATTCTATAATTATGATGGATCTCTAAGGTAGCTTTAAGCTCTAAATCTTATAATTTAATCAGCTCACTCCCCCATGATGGACCTTTACTATAATATCGAGGACCAATAGCCTGTCAGCCAGTGCTGGATAGCTTAATTAAATTTCTCTGATTGATATAGCACAAATTTCAATGTGACTAGATCACTTCAGTCCTATGACTCTGACTTCTAAATGAATCCCTTAAGTTCCCTAGTGCCCCTAATCCAGGAGTTCTTCAACTTTTTTATGTCATGAACCCCTTTAGCAGTCTGGTGAAGCCTATGAAACCCTTCTCAGAATAATGTTTTTAAATGCATAAAATAACAATAAGAGCTAGCCCTTATATAATGCTTTAAGATTTGCAAAGTGCTTTATAAATATGATCTTGTTTGATCCTCACAACAATCCTGGGACATAGAGGCTGTTATTCTCACCATTAAGAGATGAGGAAACTGAAGCAGACAAAAGTTACAACTAGTTAGTGGCTCAGGTCACATTTGAACTCCAGTCTTCTGACTACTGATATCTTCCTGGTTGCAGACACTTCCTAGTTTTGTGACCCTGGGCAAATCACTTCACCCTGTTTGCCTCAGTTTCCTCATCTGTAAAATGAACTGGAAAAGGAAATGGCAAACCACTCCAGTATCTTTGCCAAGAAAAACCCCCAAAAGAGTCAGACACAACTGAAGGACAACTTCCTGACTAACCTATCAACTGCACCACTTAGCTGCCTCATGCATAGGATTATCAAGGAAACCAATATATTGGAATACAGTTATCAAAAGATGTTTTTTAAAAGTTTACAGACCCCCCCACCCCAGCCCCCAAATCTGTCCATGAACCTGCTGGGTCCATGACTCTGAGGTTAAGAACCCATGCTTCGGCAGAGATCTGCTTAGAGTAGCCACACCCAAATATGGCCTGGTCTTTTTGCTCTGGGTTGCCCCTCTCCATCTGTTCCCATATCATTTGCAACTCTGTTTTCTCTCCCCAGTTTCACAACAAGGTTACCTGCTTCATGATGCACCACATTGAGGAACCATGCTCCCTTGGGGCTCATGCTGCTGTCATTGTCCCACCTACCTGGATCATTAAGGTGAAGAAACCTCAGGTAACTGCCTAATCACTGTTAGATACTTATGCTTCCTGGCAAACTCAGAACATAGTAACTGCTGCTTTTTGCTGCTTTTCTCAACTAGCCTCTGAGTTCAGATGCCCCATGCTTATATATCCACATGCCCCCATGCTTGGCTGCCATGGCCATATTTCACTCTCTCATCATGATGCTGTGTAGGACTCTGTCATGGAAAACAATCACCATTCTAATAAAATCAAGAATCCCAATTAGGGGAATCTCCTTCCTGTTTACCTACTGGCTGTGCTTCTCTAGGTGGGTGGGATTTAGTCCTGGGTCTCACTGAGAGAAAGTGATGGGTACAGGTAAGTCAGCACTTGTGAGTGCTGGTGCAATTATACAATATCCATTGTTCACAACTCTTGGCTGTTAAGGAGTAGGAATAAGGGTATGCTGTTGAGATCCCACTGCATAGTTAAGGTGGTCTCTACTTCTGAGTTTCCTTCCCTATGTGGAGGGAAGGATTTGGGTTTGCTGCTTCTTAGTATATAAAGCCTACTCAGAGCAAAATTCTATGGATGGTCAAATAGACTTGATTATTGCCAAAGCAATCTCCTTATTGTGCCGTTATTTCCATTGCATTTTGGGTCATAAGGAATGGAATGTTGTGGGAAAGCTTCTAAACCTATTTCATAGCTGTGAAAGAAAAACTTTCTCCATCACAGCCCTGTTAGGTGTAATGTGGAGACTTCAACTCTGCAATAGACTTTAGTGGGAAAAGGACATTTTATTGTGGTTAGTTTTACGTGAAGCAAATGGGAATCCAGGCAGGGTTGGATAGTAGCTTTCAATGCTGTGTTGTTGTTCAGCTGTTTCAGTTGTGTCTGACTGTTTGTGACTCCATTTGAGGTTTTCTTGGCAAAAGTACTGGTGAGATTTGCGGTTTTCTTCTTCAGCTCATTTTACAAATGAGGAAACCTAACAGGGTTAAGTGACTTGCCCAGTGTTTGAGACCAGATTTGAACTCACTAAGATGAAGCTTCCTAACTCCAGACCCAGCACTCTATCCACTGCACCATCAGTGCTGTGCAGAGTTGTTATCTCAGAGCACTGCTGTTTTGAGCCCCCTATTAAGCATGCCTGCCTATGTTGGCTAGCTTTGTGTAGTGTGCCTTTGAACAGACATGGCAGTTGGGTGGACTCTTTCTTCTTCAGTGTCCTGTCCTATGCAGCTAGCTTCATGTTCTCAAAGATCAGGCAGCCAACTGATTGTGTTTGAGCAAAAGAGGTTGTGCATCCTCTAAACTTCTTCTAGGATGCCAGTATACGATAGTTAAGTGTTGCTGGATTATATATTTTAAGAAATGTATTTCCTGATGGCAGGTAATATCTATGAGCAAAATGTAAGAACAAATTTCAGATGATCCAAAGGTCATTAGGGAGGAATATGGTAGATAGGAAAAGGCCAGAGTGTATTGCTAATTAAGAATTACTCAGGTAGAACAGACTGAAGGTTGTCATCCAATAGATGCTTGGCTGCAAAAGAAGGTGGGCTGGTCATATAGCAGGATCTAGAGACAACTAACTGCTGGGTCGCCCCTGTGCTCTATGGTGTCTATGTGGTGTCTCTTGCCAGAGCTTTATTAACTGTCAGATCCCATGACCATTTCTCAGTCCTTATCCTTCTTGACCTCTCTGCATTATTTGACACTGTTGATATCCTGCCTAGCCTCTCAGTCCTGGCTTTTCATCACATTGTTATTGGTATTCCTTTTACCTATTTGACCATTCTTTCTCACCTTCCTTCGCTTGATCATCAATTAGTCAACAAATGTTTATAAAGTGCGTACTATGTATAAGCATCTGGGGATACAAAGACAAAATGCAAAACAGCATCTATCAAAAAGCTCCCGATCTAGGGAACAGTAAAAACTAGGAGATTCATAAGCTTCCAGCACAAAGTAGTACCTGAACTGAGCCTTGTATGAAGAGAGGGATATAAGACGTGAAGGCTGATAGGAAACGGATTCCTGGCATGGACAACAACCTGTGTGGGGAACAGAAAGTAGACCAATTCGACTGGAACACAAAGCATCTGAAGGAAAATAATGCAAAATAAACCTGGAAAGGTTGACTATGCCAATCTGAAGAATTGGTATTTTATCCTAGAAGCAAAAGGAAGCCCCTGAAAGTTCTTGAGGGAAGGAGTGATGCAATCAGAAATGTACCTTGGATGAAATAATTTTGTCATTTATTCCCTAACAGAAAACAATGATAACAGTAAGAGAATCAGTATTCATTAACAAAGATTTAAACAAGATTTAGTCATTTAACTTATAGCTGGACCTGTTATTGAATTGGTATGGGAACTCCCAAGGGAGGAAACTCCCTCTATCAGTGCAGGTTGGCACTTGCAATTTATAGTCTTAAAGATTTGCTTTGAGAAGTGAGTATTTAGTGATACACGCAGGTCACACAGCTAGGGTTTGTCAGAGGGAACACTGGAACTTAGGCCTTCTTGACTCCCGAGACAACTCTCCAATCATTAAGGCATGCTGTCTTTCTTTGTCCTAAGCATATAAAAACACAAGCATGACATTTGTCAAGAGTTTCTTAATTGTTTGATCCTAAGACTCAAGCTTATAGTGTTGTGTTGCTCTGCTGGATATACTGTTATGATAGCAGATAGATAGATAGATGGATGGATGGATGGATAGGTAGATAGATAGATGGATGGTTGGATGGATGGATGGATGGATGGATGGATGGATAGATAGGTGGATAGATAAATGGATAGATAGATGGATGGATGGGTAGATAGATATACCTGCTGTCAGGGAATGTGTTAAAGTGCAAAGTTGAAAGATGATACAACAAGCCCTCCTAGCACTTGCCCAGAGTTCCAAAAAGTGTTGTCAGAGCATCTCTATGGCCTTTGCCAGGTCTAAGATATGAGTGCTAGATAGGCCCCACTGTGGAAAGGATGATATTACCCATATAAAGAGAGTTGGCTAAAATGCAATTAGTGCTTTGGAGAGGTACTCAGTCTATTATATTTAGTGTGGAAAAACAGTGAAGGATGAGGAAAAATTGTACTTTCCCTCAGTTTCTTGATGAGGAGGAAGAGGAGTGGAAATGAGCAGAATATTACAAGCAAATGAAGAGTGTGTGACCTTTTTGTCACGTAATAGGGTCAAATTATTAAAGTATGCCCTCTTGAGAATGGTTATTAGTTCCTGACAACTTGAAATTCAAATAGCCCTCATCTAACAGCAATTGTTATAGAATATGGGCCAAGTGATAAAATTCTCTTCAGGTAAGTGGTAGAGATAAAATTCTTTTAAAGAAAACTATTAAAATATCAATATGGAATAATATAAGATATGTGGAAAAATAAAAAAAAAGACTTGTGAACAAAATTTGAAGAATGAAAAAGCCTAGGCACCTTTGAATTACTTTATGAACCATTTTCTTACCGTCATTTGACTTTTTTGAGGGTTGATGAAAACCCTTTCAGAATTCATGTCAAAGCATCCAGTTGTCCGCCAGGAATCAATACTTGGTATTTGCCTTTGTGCAATTGGCCCTACAAGGGATCATTGTTTTTTGTTTTTTTTATCTCTCCTGAATTCAAAACAAAACATACTTCTATGAGTTTTCATTAGGAGAGGATGAAGTTTAACTCCCATATTGCTCACTTTCCTTACATACACGAAGCCTTCTTTGTCTGTTTGCCCCAATCTTTTAGCCAGGACTCTTTTCTGGGCCTGGATTCTGTAGCACCCAGTGAGATGTGTTTTTCCTACAGTGTCTCCCTCAGCACTTTTTGTATATCCTGCTTTTTCTTTTTTTTTTTTTAATATCCTGCTTTTTCTTATGGTCACTCTGAATCAGTTGATACCTGGAAGAAGGAAGATGGTTATTACGTGAGAGTTTCCCTGCTAGTGATGATTCTTTCTGTAGTTAGGAAATAACAATAATAATTCACACTTACATTGCACTTAAAGGTTTTCAAAGCACTTCCTGCAACAGCCTTGTGAGGTAAGTATTGCAAGTATTATTATCCCCATTTTACAGATGAAGAAACTTTGACTTAGATGTTTGACTTAGATGCTAAGTGACTTACATAAGCTTACAAAACTTCTAAGCGTCAAAGCCAGGATTTGAATCTGCATCTTTCCTAATTCCAAGTCCAATGGTCTTTCCTTTTGCTAAGCTGCCTCTCAGTAACTACTGTGTGTCCTACTTGTCTTTGGTACATGGCTTTTCATGCTTCAGTTGGTGGGGACTGTTTTTGTTAGCCTCATAGATTTAGCATACTCCCAACTTGGGTCCCTTTGCTGACAGGACTTTTAAGTGGGCTAAACCTCTTCACATGGGTTTTAAACAGAACAGAAAGAGGACAAAATATGGCGAGCCATTTTTAAAACATATAGGAGAAATAGAAATGAGCCAGAAGGTTCACTGCAGAGAGCCCTAGTGATAGGTACACACAACTTGGGGCTCTGCAGTAGTGAAGAAGTAGAGGAGACAGATGGGGGATCTAGCTCCCCAAGAAGACACAGTCCAGGATGCATAAAGGGGGAGCATCAGAGGGCACACATACCCAAATACTGTTGGGCCAATATTGTCAGAGGAAACTCTGCCACTCTTTCACTTTCTGTTAGTCTGCTGAGAATAGAGAATTTTAGAACATTTGAGGACCTAGCAAGAGTTTTTTTAGAACTAGAATTTTATGACTCAGGAATATTTAGATAAACCAGGACCTTATTTTTCTGGAATAGAAAGCCAAGTCCATTAAAACTTCATTAATTCAGAACTAATAATTTGAAATTTGGGATCATTCAGAAGAAAGGTGATTTATCTTTGCCCTCTCTTTGGGAAAAAAAAAGATTTTTTAAAAACATGAATATTGTAAGTAAGAATATAAGATTAAACACTTTAGGAGTTCCATTTGCATACATGTGAACTGAGATGCTATTTTCAAGTTTTTCTTATTTAATCAATAAGGCAGAACCTATTTAGCAAGACTTCTTTAACTTGGGTCATGTGATTGTATAAATTTAAAAGTATTAACTCTACCATGTTTTAAAAGAGTCTGTCATTCAGACTTTAAATTTAATTTGTTGAACTTGGCACTCAGATGGAAATAAAAATATGAGTTATGCAAGGCCTTGTGAGAGTACAAAAGAGATACATAATTTGGTCCCTGACTTCGAGGGACTTAAGTTTTTTCAGTGATAGATGTTCCACTAATTCAGTTTGGATTAGTCTGAATTATTGAGGCTTAATTATATTTTGAAAAATGTTCTCAAAGCTTGCTAAAATTCCATTCTATTACTTGCATGAAAATTTAAGAGTAGAAGAAATCTTAGTTGAAGTGATCACAGAATGTCAGTCTAAGTGATCCTTAGGAAAAGACAGAGAGAAAGCAAATAGATTTTTAAACAATCAAACCAGATGGGCTCTGTGAAAATACATTTCAAGAGGCTTAGGGAACCTGTAGGCTAGTTGCTATGGAAAAGCCAAAAATTCAGAAGAATTAAATAGGCTTCAAACCAACAGTTCTGGAGGCATAGGAATCACACCCAGTGCTTCTTGTCCTCCTGGAATAAATAGCTGACTCTGCTTGTGTGACCTTGGGTGAGTTACTTAATCTCACAGGGCCTCAGTTTCTTCATCTGTAAAATGAGGGGATAGGACTAGATGACCTCGTAAGGAGCCTTCTAGCTCTAAATCTCTGAGCCTGTTAACTCAAGGTGAGTCTCTTAGCCATTGAAAAGGAAACCATTATAGATGCTAGGTTGGTTGGTTCTATTCTGTCAAAAAAAAAAAAAGAGAGAGAGAGAAGCCTTTCCTCCGTATTGGGGCAGAAATCTCCACCATGGCTCCAGGATCCTCTGACTGAGTGACTTTATCACAACCACTAAAGCAGGTCTTAGAAAAAAAAAACATGAAAAATGTCACCTTTTATCATGTTTTTTTTTTTACGTTTTTCACACAGGAGGTCTCCATACCAGGAGACGACTTTGGTTGGGCGGGAGACTGGAGCCCCACAGAGAATATGGGAGTCTCCCACCTGTACTGGGAGGGTTGGCAGGTATAACATGTGTTGTCATGTGAGTCCATGAGAGCATCTGGGGTTTCCATTTCCCTGCCTTTCAGTGTGGCAGGGGAAGTCTTTGACTCCAAAGCACTCTACTGGTTTCTGTCTGTGGCTTATCCATGAACAGTGGCTTGGAAATGTCAAAGCATGAGTAGCATGCAGTTGAAAAGCATGTGCTGCTTACCGTCCTCCACAGGAATATGCATGGGGGAACATCTGCTTGGAGCCCACCTCTGAGGCCAGCGATGTCTTTTTTTTTTCTACAGAATTCATTAAAAGCTTCAAATCGGAAGAAGAAGAGGACAAGCTTTAAAAGGAAAGCGAGCAAAAGAGGAGCTGAAGTAAGTGGGGTTATGAAATGTTGGAAGGGGCAGATGATAATCGGGTCAGTCTGAGGACCTGGGAGAGAGCCTGTTTGAGGATTCAGGCAGAGATGATAATCCATTTCTCTGTCATTTCTCCAATGACTTTAAATCCAAAATGCCCTGTCATTGATGAGCTTGTTTAATCAGAGAGGGTGGTGGGTGAAGAGAGAGAGAAAGAGAGACAGAGAGAGACAGAGAGAGACACACAGAGAGAGAGACAGAGAGGGAGACAGAGAGATAGAGATTCCTTGCTTTAATTTTCTTTGACCTTGTGTGTATGCCATTTTAAGTTAAGACATAACTTTTCAGGTTTTATAGCCTTAATTACTGGTGCTTTGTTATTTCAGCCAGAAAATAAAGGCCGGCCATTTGTGATAAAACCCATCTCCTCTCCACTCATGAAACCACTGCTCATATTTGTGAATCCCAAGAGTGGAGGCAACCAGGTGAGATCATCTTCCTGAACCTAGTTCAGAAACTTCAATGAGTTTTCAAAAGCAAAACTCTCCCCTTCAACCCAAAAAGCACCATGAGACCTTAGAGCATCGGGGGAAAATCCACAAGTGACTGAATTAGGTTATTATTCTGGTAAGGAATAGAATCACAGAGACCTTTAGCTAGTTAAAACAAACCAGTCCCAAAAATATTAAAAAAAAAAGTCATTCTCTAGGGGTTATGTTTATGGTATATTTTGTTGGTCTATAAAACTTTTACTACCTAAAGTCTGTGCTTCTCAAGACAGATTTTAAAAACAAACAATAACAACAATAATAACAAAACCCCATAATAATGCTCCTCATCTTTCCCGTGTGTCCTCCTTTTAGATCCTAGCCCCTTCTTTATAGCTCCTGGTCCCTGCTTTCCTGAAATACTCAGTCTTTGTGCTGAGGCTGCGGAGGGTGGTAGTGTAGTCCATAGTGAAAAATTTAGATATTTTATTGATTCTTCATTATTTTTGGATTGAGAAACAACTTTAGTCTATTCTCTTGCTTGCTACTGAGCCTTGGAATTAAATTTATTTCAATTCAACAAAAATTCTTTAATAGCCTACTATGTGCATGGCGCTGGGGATACAAAGATGAAAGCTAATACTATTTCTAGGGGCAGCTGTATGGCATGGTGGATAGAGAGTGCCAGGCCTGGAGTCAGGAAGACTCATCTTCCTGAGTTCAAATCCTGCCTCAGACACTTACTAGCTTTGTGACGCTGGGCAAGTCGCATAATCTTGTTTGCCTCAGTTTTCTCCTAATGAGCTGGAGAAGGAAATGGCAAACCATTCCAGTATCTTTACCAAGAAAACCCTAAGTGGGGTCATGAAGAGTCAGATATGACTGCAGTGACTAAATAACAACTTTCTTTCAGGAAAGATTATATCTAAACCATTCCACAATTTATAATTGCCTTTTCCTGATAAATCTTCAAGACACAGCTATGATAGAGTAGAAAGTGCCCTGGTTTTAGAAAACAGAAGACATGGGTCCAAGTCACACTGTCCTGCTTAGTACATATGTGACAAATCACTTTGCTGCTCAGGCCTTGTTTTCCTCATCTGTAAAATAGGGTCCTGGATGAGATGACCTATAATGGATCTTCTAGCTCCAAATATATGACCCTAGAACCTAAGAAAGGCAGTTCCTTAATTTTTGGTTAATTTCTTTCAAACTTTTATAACCCTTATTGTTATGAGGTTCTTCTTGTTACCTGACCCAAATTTCCCCATTTCCTTCATCTTGCCCTCAAAAAAGGGAACAGTGTGTGCACCCCACATTTCCCTATCCATTTTTATTGTACTTTGTTGTTATAAAATACTTTTACAACCATTATCTCATTGAATCTCATAATAGCTCTGTGGGATAGACAGGGCAGTATTATTATCCTGATTTTGTAAATGAGGAAATTAAGCTTCATCAAGGTGAATTAACATACCAGAGGTCACATAACCAGGAAGTGTCTGAGCCAGGATTTGAAACTAGGTTCCCTCATTTGCCTGTAATGATAAAGTATAGTATAGCATGTAGAGACAGCGTGGTATAGTAGAGAATTGGCCTTAGAGTCAGGAAGACCTGGCTTCTTTAAACTTTTCCTTTAACACGTACTAACTGTATGTCCCTGAGGTGGTCACCTAGCTTCTCAATGCCTTAGCTAACTTCAAGACTGAATTTCAGAGATGGTTCCTATCTGCATTGGTAAGAGGATGTTACCTCATTGGAAATAGCCTACACCAATGAAATCAGAGGTCTAGCACCATCCCCACATAAAATACCATTACAAAATACTGTTAACTGTTAATAACTGGTGAATTACTCAGATGTGCTGTTGCACAGTGGAAGGAACATTCTACTTAATAACAGAAAATCTAGGTTCAAATCTCAGCTCTAATTCTTACAAATTATATGTCCTTGTGTTATGTGACCTCTCTGAGGTTCAGAGTTTTCACTTATAAAATCAGAATAATAATATGTTCCTATAAATTTCATTTGATTCTTGCAGTAATGTGAGTAGTGTTAATGTTAATGTTAAATTAACATTGCAGTAATGTTAAAACAGGTGTTGTCCCCATTTCAAGATGAGGAAAGAAATTGTAACTTATCCTAGATGTCCTGGCCATTGAGTGACAGAGCCCAGGCCAGAACCCAGGCATCGAGGCTCCTAGTGTAAGTACAGGGCCCAAATTCTCCTTCTAGTATCCCATACTTTTTATGAAGAGCCTTTAGTGGTCTTTTTTCTACTTGAATGATATATTTCCATGTAGTTGGGGATGTTGGAATAATCTTCCTGTTAATTTGGGTGTACGTTTTTCAATCCTAGTATTTAAAAGGTCTTCCTGGCTCAACTTGTAACAATGGAATTTGAGAGACTTCAGTCCCCAGATAGAAGCAGGAAAATTAGTCAAAAAAGCAAGCCAGTTAAGCTTGCTTTAATACCCCAAGAATGAACAAGTGATAAAGCATGTATTAATTGCTTGCTACGTGCCAGGTCCAGTGCATTGAGAATACAAAAACCAGAAAGCAAGAAAGCAAGTCCTTTGATGTAACAAGCTAAGAATGAATAAATAGTAAGGCATTTACTACAATACAAGAAAACAAGACAGTTATTGCCTCTGATAATCTTATATTTTATCTTATATCTTATATTTTAATGGAAGAAAACAACACATAAGAGGGAGCTAGAAGTTGGGTAGGGGTTAAGCAAGAGGCAGCATGGTTTGGAAAGGACTGGGAAGTGATACAGAATCCTGATTCTGGGTGAGATGAGACAAAAGCTCTTCTTTCAGAGCCCAAAGTCAGAACTAAAGATTCCAGTGGGAAAGGGGATGAGGAAATTGAGGATGAATCTGTGTTGAAGGTTATGTAAGATTAATGTTACTAATGGCAATAATGAGTAACTACTAGGATAGCCTTTTGTCAGTCCATTCAGTGTTATACTTTATTCCATTTTAATTTCCCCTCTTTTAAAATGATTTCTCAGAGAATTAAAATGGCAATCTCTCATCTATATTGGCAAATTCTGGTTTTTAAATTTGTCTTTTAAATGATGACTATCTTCCTGATGCACAAAAAACAAAACATATACTTGGGATATTTTCCCCAGGAATGAGGATAAATATGTACGATCATCTCAGATCCCTTGTCTGGCTCATCTTATGACCAATTAAACTGGTAGCTTGGCTGGTGTGAGGTGGGCAGTTGGTGATCGTGGAACAGAGTAAAAGTAACTGGAATTCAACTCAACTCATGACCGTGACCTCTTGAGGCCCATTTTTTTTTTCAATTCATGCCATATTGTCCATTATCCTGATTTGTATGAGGAGGTGTCAAGGCCAGTCAACATGGTGTAATTCATATACTAAACCATAACATTAATCAATAAGTATATGTTAAATGCCGGCTACAAAACCAACACTGCTCGGCGTTGTAAGAGATTTAGAAGAACTTCTCCTTTTCCCCTTCCGAAGTAATTCAGCAAACATTTATTAAGCACTTATTAGTTCTTTGAACTTTGAAGCTGTAGCTGTGATAGATCTAAATTTAAAAACAATTCTTAAGTTTACTCATTAAACACTATAGAGGCAAGCACCTCCAAAACTTTTTATAGCCTAGCCTGTGAGGTAACTGACAAAACACTTTCGAAAGGAGCACTTCCCTTTCCACAGCAAATAAGACATTAAAACATTACAGTAGAACACACACACACACACAATAAGGTGGGTTTTTTTTTTTTAGCAGAAATATAAATTTATTTTCCCACATGACTTCGTTAGTATAGATGGGGGAGTTAAAACCATGAGATCTCAGGATGAGAATAGCAAGAAGTACAAAGGGAAAGGACTGAACCTTGGAGAATGTCTTTGTTTAGAAGCAAGAAAAGGAGGAAGAAGAACAAGCAAAAGGGCAGAGAACAAGCAGTTGGAGAAGCAAGAAGAGAATCAGATAATCAATCAACCACTTGAGCCTCTGGGCCCTTCTTAGCAAAGCCAGAACTTAGCATAGTTGGAATCAGTGATTTGTTTAAAAAAGTTTGGCCCTGAAAGGAAGGGAAAAAAAAAATACATTTCCAGTTCTAAACTTCTGGGATTCTCCACCCACCTCCCACCCACCCCTGCCCCTTTATTTATTTATTTTTAAATATTATTTATTTATTTTTAGTTTTCAACATTCACTTTTATAAGATTTTGAATTCTAAAATTTTCCCCTTCCTTCCCCTCTCCCTCCCCAAGATGGCATGCAATCTGATATAGGCTATGTATACAATGCTATTAAACATTTCCACATTAGCCAGTTGCATTTCTGGGATTCTAAGGAGGGCAGTTAAAAAGGACAATGGAGTCAAATAAAGACTTTTTCAAGTTAAAGGATATTTGTGAATGTTCATCATCATTATCATTATTATTATTGTTCAAATTTACTTTATAGGACTGGAGAGTTTTCACAGCATTTTCTTCATAATTATTCTATAGGGGGCAGCTAGGTGGTGCAGTGAATAGAGCTCTGGCCCTGGAGCCAGGAGGACCTGAGTTCAAATCCAGCCTCAGACACTTAACACTTACTAGCTGTGTGACCCTGGGCAAGTCACTTAACCCCAATCACCTCACCATAAAGCAAAAAAACAAAAAAACATAATTATTCTGTACAAGTCTTACCGCCACTTCATAGAACTCTTACCTTCATTTCACAGATGAGACAATTAAAGCTCAGAGAAATTGGATGACTTATCCAGAGTCGTACAATTAGTAAGATCAAAAGCAGGTATTTCAACCTAGGTTTTCTGATTATGTTTAAATTGAGTTAAAGTACTATCAGAGAGGGAGAGATGGGAGACCCCAGAGGAGGAAAGAAGAGACTCTTCTACTGGACATCCATAATCTGGCCTTGGCTCTATGTTGCTCCTCTAACTTAATCCCTATTATTCACCTACGTGGGGTTTTCATTCCATTTGAGTTGATCTC